CGGCGGGGCCGCGGCCCCCCCCCCGACCCGAGGCAGGCGGAACCGAATTCGAAACCGCCTGGAGTCGTCGGGCAGCGCCGGGCCTCGGAGTGCGGCCAGGCCGGCCGGCGCGTGCCTTTGTGCCCCGGGCGCCGCGCTTCCCGGGTCCCGTTCGCGCTTCTAGGCAGTGAGCAGTGCGCGCCCACTGGAAAACGGCTATGTGCCCGCCACCCCCCTGTGCCTTCCCAGTCACTTTCTCCAGGTATTTTCTTCACGTTTTATCTCGGCGTGCCAAAGGAAGCAGCGACGCCGCGAAGGAGCCGCTCGGAATTCTCTGAACGCGGCCAGATGAGGAACCTCACCCCAGCTCTTCCCAACGACCGGGTTAGAGCAAACACACGCTTATTGTTTTCCACTGGGAGACCCGTCTAAATACCTTTTTGTTTGGGTTTGAGTTGTTAGCCAGCAAAAATATTTCCTAAATACCGGTGATTGACCTGTTCAATTAGAAATAGATTACCTCCCAATTACTTCCCGGGCATTTGCCTAATTAACCTTTAATAATCACATCACTATTCAGTTTTCGAGATAATTAATGAGAAAAACTCTTCGGAAACTATGAATTGCCTGGCCAATGTTAATTTTCAGATTTTTTTTTCTAAGTCTGGAGAATTGATTAATATTAAAACTATAGAGTATGTCGTCTGACTCCTAGAAGAAAGCTTAGGTTTGTCTCCCCGCTTTGAGAAACAGGTGAGTCGGAGCTAATAAACTAGACTGATGTTCACAAATCACTTCTGTGAACTGGCTCATTCTCAGCCTGCTGTGCATATCAGGGTTATATGCGAGTGTAAAGCACTTCCTCTTGAAAAGGGTGGCTCTCTCAGCTATTGCTGATGTGATTAAGTCACCATGTTAATCAAACCCACGTAAAGAACCGCTCATCAGTGGGGCCCCAGTCAAAGGTAGAGATTTTAAATCAGTCCAAGAGTGAGTGGAATAAGCCGGCACTCACTTGAACTCAGACGCTTTTCTCTGTGCCAGTGTCACCGACGTTGTCCACAGTCCCTCTAAAAGTCACCTTTGGAGTCCGGTTAGTAAAGCGTGACTCCGAAAAGGTCCTCTGAGGATTGCATTTGTCCTGATTCTCCCCACGAGAGTTTCAACAAGTCCTCAGTCTACGCTCCCCAGGGCCCGTCAGCCTGCGTATATGTAGTGTATTCATTTATGAAGAGATTCTAAGCTCACTGGTGAAATTCATACTTTCCTCTTCAGAGTCACGTTAGACTATGAGGCCCACGTTCAGGGCCTGGTGCACAGACACGTCAGAGCGAAGCAAACAGAGCTCCTGTTGTGTGTGTGCCTTTAAGTTATGGCAGTGCAGGCCCAACCTGGCTAGACCAAATATCCTTGGCACATTTATGCTAAATGTATTTCGATATAAAACATCAAGTGAAAAAGGGAAGCCCATGCGTATAAAACTTGGTACATCGTATCTCTGTCATAAATGGGTTTATTTTTTCAACATTAACAAAGCGGCACAGTCCAGTGTTTAATTGCTGGCAGTAATGAGATTCTGCAGCTGATTCTCTGGCTGGATCCCAGGATCCAAGATAGAAGAGCAGAACTGGCCCCTGACTAGAAAACCCCGGGAGGGAGCACTGCCTGGTCAGAGATTTCTATGAGGGGTTGTCCGTGTCTTCAGGGCGTGCTCCTCTTGTGCAGTTGACACGTTTCCATTTGCCCTTCACATCTCACTAGTTCACCATTTTTATTTTCTCTCTTTCTCTTTCAAAAGCCACCTGTTCTAGGAAACCATCTCTGACTAAGCCTAATTAAGAAGGATGTGTACTCCTTAAGGCCAAAGCCTGCCCCATATACATGTGCTTAATCCCATATCTTTAGTAGCAGTCTATTTATTCAACACGTATGGTTGAGGCCCTGTTTTTACCGGGCATGGTGTGGGATGCCGAGATCACAGGAGGGTCGGCGCAATCGTGATGTTTATAAAGCCCTGACTGTGTTGCAGGCCCTGCCCTGTGTTGAGGGAATGGCCAGCCAGATGGACGAAGTTCCCGGACGGCGGAAAAGATAAACAACGATAACAAAGAAGTGCAAAGACTGTTATGGTAAGGGAAGATAAGGAGTGTGGGAAAACTGTAAGAGCGGCTAAACCGATTGCCTTGTGTGGGGGGTGAGGGCTCCAGAAAGCCCTGGTCTCTAAATAGAGACCTGAAGGTAGGTAGTGGGCCACACCTGCAGGGAGTATTGAGCTGGGATTTGCATTTTATCAATAGGAGAACCACTCTGGCTGCTGCTTGGAGTATAGGTTGGAAAGAGACAAGACCCAGAAAACCAGTTCTGATTTTGTGACAGTAGGCTGGAGAGGAGATGAGAGTGGTCTAGAGTAAAGCAGAGGGGATTAAGAGAAGAAAACAGATAGGAAAGAGATCCAGGAGCTAGCTAGGAAAAATGGGTGGTGTGCAGGAGAGCGAGGAGATGGAGTGACTCAGGTTTCAGCCTAGGCAACTGGACGAGGGTAGTGGCTTTCAGGAGAGGACCGAGGAGGAGCAGATGGGAGGCAAGGGAGTTCAAGTTTGGACGAGTTGAATTTGAGATACCTAGGGGGCATGATGTGAGCAGGAATACCGATAAGCTGTCTGCTATTTGGATCTGGGGTTCAGTGAGGAGATAGGCTGGGGGTGGGGGGAATTGATCAGTCTGTACCGTATTTACCCCAATATGAGGTACTTCTGAATAGCAGGTAAGCCTCTATTTTTCTGATTAAAAGACCCCACACCCTTCCAATAAAACATTGTAGCCAACTTAAATATATATATACATATATATATACATATACACACACACACATACACTTATAGAGATACTGAGGAAATGATCAGGGCTCCACTTGTAATACTAAATGTATTGATTTAATTATACTTATATACTTTAAATGACATATTATATAAAATATAACTTTAAAATAAAGTTCTAGAAATGCTTCTCAGAGTCTTTATCATCAAGATCAGATCTTGAGTCTCTGACATAGCACACGTCATTTTCATTGCTGCCTATGTCATTGCCACCTGTGTCTAAGATGCTGTCACTGGGAATTTTATTCCAAGTACCTAATCGTACCACCTCTTCCTGTAATCGTAGTCGTGTGCCATCTTGCCTTTTGTAGTGACTTTTAAAGGCTTGTTTACAAGGACACCCAGCACCCATACTAATTTCCAAATCTGTGTTAAATTTGTCTCCTTTCTTACCAGTGCTGTTAGGTGGCTTCTGTATGAGCATCGATTGAGAGTATTTCATGCTAATGTATAGTTCCCTAACAGAGCAGGTGTTGTTCAAGACAATTGAGAGCATCCTATATAAAAGACTTTGTAAGGGCACAGTATGAGGTGATCTCCCGCTTCTCAGGAAGGGTTACTATCTTTTATTAGGTTATCAGAAAATTCACGATGGATTTTGGCATAGAAAAAACACGTCACGACTTTTCCGACAACTCAATATTGAGGTATATACGGTAATGCCAAGAGCTTGCCCCAGGAGATTTTAGGGATGGAGCAAAGGACTTCAGAACTAGGATAGAACCTGGACTGAGAGCTAAGGACTAGGACCAAACAGAGGAGCATTATCATGTGAAGGCGTACAACAAAAAGGGAAACTCACAAAGAGACAAGCAGACATGTAAAAAGAAAACCAGAAACATCCCAGAAACCAAAAAGAGTTCCAGATGTGGTTGGTGGTGTGGTGGTGTTGATGTAAGACCTAAACACTGTCATTCGTTGGATGTAGGGACACGGTAGGTGTCAAGGACAGCCTTAGCAGATGCTGTTTCAGCAGAGAAGGTCATCGTGGTTACACCTTTCGCTGAGTGTGGAAAACGTCTTGGAGAAGCGTACCTGGATTCAGAGGAGGAGTCGGTAGGTCCAGAATGATTTGGCCGGGGGGGAGGGATTACATGTTGATGTAAGGAGGCTATGGAGAGGGACGTGTTGAAGATCGAGAGAGTTGGGCTAATTGATAGCTTTAGAGAGAGTGCAGTGGATAATTTGGCAGCTGTAATTCAGCAAGGCCCGTGATTATCTGACCTCTGTGCTCTCTGGCAACTGGCAAAGGGCAAAAAGGCTTCACAGAACAGAGTTACACCCTGGCCCAGTGGTTTCCAGGAAGCTCGTGGCTGTATTTAAACATGTCAAGTTCCTGTGCCATCTTAATGAAAATTGGAGACAATAGGCAACATCCTGACATTGGCTCCCTAGTCCCCTAAAGTCCTATTCTCAAAGGACACCCAGTTGCATCCCCAAAGGCAGCAATTGCAAAACAAGACAGTGGCGCCTTCCGGTAAGAATGACAGGATTGCCGAGTGCGAAGGCACGGACCTGTCATCCTGGCTCCTCCAGAGATGGAGGCAGGAGGCAAGCCTGAGTAACATGGCGAGAGCCTATCTCTGAACAGAAAAGGGAAAACTTGCTTTTTGGTTACAAGTCACAAAAACCCACACAAAACACTATTTTAGGAGAAAGAAAATTTTATTAGAAGGACCCAGGCATCTTAAGACAAAGATGCATCCGGGCAGATGGTGGCACACCAGTAATGTGACTGGATCCACGTAGGAAAGGTCCTGGGAACTCCCTGAGCACACCAGGCATGCACCGGCCTGTGATCTGGGCAGCTGGGGCTTGTGGGTGGACGGGGCCATGAGGACCCTGTGGGGGGTGCCTGTCTCTGTGTGCCCCTCCCCTCCACCCTCTCACTCACTCACAAAAAGATATGAACAAACTTAAAAGAAGAAGATGCAACTGAGCCTCAGGAATGGAACCGGAGATCTCACAGAACCCACAAACTTCCCTTTTAGAGAGCCTTGTCTCTGCACTTCTCTCTGAATCTGCCTTAACTTTACCTTGGGGCAGAATGCCTCTCTCCCATGTCCCCGTGTCCCCGTGTCCTCGTCCCAGGGTGGTAAATGGCTACCCCCAACTTCCAAGTTGCCCCATGAGCTTCTATTTCTGACCATCTGGTTATAAATCCCGCAGTGAGCAGACAGATTGGCAGCCTGGTTTAGGCGCTCACCCTAACCACTCAGGGACTGAGCAGTAGCACTAGAGCAGCTCCCACTGGCCCTCGACAAGGAGGTACATGCAGTACCACGGGGAAGGGGAGCCAGTCAAGCCCATCACTCTTCCCTATTCTCCAGCCTTGTGCCTGATGCTTTATACTTATTTGCCTAAAAATAAATATTTGGTGTCAATATAAAGATTTTTTTTTTTAACTGTGGAAAGAAAATTAGATATCAGGTCAAGGGATTTGCTTGATGGGAGGAGCCAGGAATAGAGGAGCCAAAGATGGGTGCACGCAGATAGTTTGTAGGTGGGAGGGTGCCCCATTTACCCTCGCAGGTCTTGAGGTCCTTGATGAAGTAGGCAGTGAGGTCATTTGTGAGGAAGACGGAGAGGGGAGGGGAGGGCTGGGGTGTTTAAGCAGAGGGGTAAATGTCCCAGTATGCTACCTGCTGGCATTTCATCAGCGTTCTATGGGTCCAGCTGAAATTGGTGGCGATATGTTTGTGTTTTTTTTTCCATCCAGCACTCATGGTAGCAACAGAGAAGGAAGATGGTGGGATTGACCCCCAGTTGGGGGTTTCTAAGGACCGAGGGAGTCAGAGGAATTGAAGGCAGTTACTGCAGGGTCGGAGCATGTAGCTTAGGCCAGATGCGGGGAGGAGGTAAGCCCGGAAAGAGCAGAGTGAGTAGGAGAAAATGAGTGTCCAGGAACTGGCGCTCCAGGAAGATGGGAGAGGAAATACACTCTGTGCGAAGCAGCAGTAGGGACGTACAGACAGGTTGTGTGTGTGAGGCTGAAATATTGACGGTTTCTCTTTCAGAAGACCCAAGGAAGCCCAGGAACTTTTAGGTCGCAGTGTTTGGTGCATTTCTTTTGGGTTCATTGTTTGTATGTTTCGGAAATGATAGGGCTTTCCTTTTTGCTGCTTGGCCTTGACTCTGTCTAGCTGCTTCACTGCACATGTATATGACACACACAGACACACACACACACACGTGCACACTCACCCCAACCTGCTTTTCACACAGGATTTGAGGTGGCCATAAAAAGATTACCTGAGGACAACCAGGCTCTTTATTCTGAGATTTCCCTCCCCTCCCTGCCGCTCTCTGCTCTCCAGCACTAGGGAGCTTAACTGGGTACAGAAAACCCTCCAGAATCTCATTCTTCCTCAGCTTGTGTCCCTGTAGAAGGGCGGCTTGTGTTTGGGTCCCTTTCTTTAGCTTTGCTGGGCCATCCTGAGCTAAAAGACTCCCAAGCAGGAGGCGCCCTCAGCCTTAGCACAAGCTGGGGAATGAAAAATAGAGCCGGTGCTCTGTAGGCCCTCCCGCGGGGGCATCAGCGAGAATGCCATCCTGTACAGCCTGCCTCTGCCCTGTTCATGCTTGCACGACCCCCTCCCGGTGCTGCAGGGGGTGGAGGGAGAGAGAAGGGAGCAGAGTGGGGGGCAGTGCGGTAAAAGATTGTCCTCCGCAGGCCAAGGAAAGCATGCAGGACAGCGAGACCAACATGGTGGCAACAGTGAGTATAATCACTTTCATTTCGCACTTAAGATACCTGAGGGGTGGCTCACGTCAGCCATGATGTGCCAGAAGCGAAAACAAAACAAGAACAAAAACACTGGTGCCAGGGTATGGTCTGAATATCTGTGTCTCCCCAATTCACTTGTTGACAAATAATGACCATGGCGATGGTATTAGGAGGTAGGCCTTTGGTCGTGATGAGTTCATGGGACTAGGGCCCTCACAAAAGAGACCCCAGGATGGGCCTTGTCCCTCCACCATGGGAGGACACGGGAGGGGCTGTCATCCGTGAAGAATAGGCCTTCACAAGAGGCCGAGTCTGCTGGCCCCTTCATCTTGGACCCCCAGCCTCCAGAACTATGAGAAGGACACTTGTGTTACTCACAAGCCACCCGGTGTGGTCTTCCATTACAGCAGCCCAGACAGACAAAGAGCCACGAGTCTCAGGTCAGTCTGATTGCTTGTTTTGCTTGGTTGGTTGGTTGGTTTTGCCCAAGAATGTAAGTGAAGTGGTGAGGAAGTGGCACGAGGTCAGCCGGGCAGGTAAATATTAACACCACCTGCTGGCCACTCCAGAGTTGGACAAATGAGTCTGGCAAGGGAGGTGCCTCCAGCCTCCGACTGCAAATCCAGTGACAGGTAGAGGGAGCATCTGCACAGAACCCCAGGAAATGGAGTGGACCCTTTAATACCGGGGAGGGAGGCGTCCAGGGAAACCGAGAAGATGTTGGGAGGAGATTTGGCTTGAAGAGCTCTCGTCAGGGGGGAGGAGGCACAGAACACTATGAAAGGGGCCTGTGGGGTGTCGGCTGCCGGGATGAGGGGCTGCCACTGGTCCTGATGCTCAGCCATGGGTCTCAGCAAGGACTGAGGACTGGGAGGAGCCCAGGCCCAACCAATGAAGCCTTTGATGTTGAGGAGCAGTAAGTGGAGGTGTTGGCCACTCACACTAGGGCTCGGGCTTCCCTGCAGCTCCCTCATGTTGGCAGCCACAGACTGCAGTGGCAGGGCCTGCACTGCGGGGAGTGGCCAGGGAAGATGCAAGAGCGACTCCCCCAGCAGGAGTCCAGGATGCTGCTCCAGGAGGGACGCTCCCTGCACCTGAACCCAGGCTTCCCCAGACATCGACCCACCCCAGGACTACACCTAAAACACAAAGTCCCAGGAGTTAGAAATTCCCAGGAGTGAGCCCCAGACTTCTGTATTTCTGAGAAGTCATCCTTCACCTTTAACATTTGGGCGGAGAAACAGAACTTAGGGGTGGTAGTGAGTTGGGTGACAAAGTAAGCAAAACAGACTGGATCTTTGTTCAGTGTACAGTGGCTCTATGGACAACCAACCTTATAGATGTTCACATTCTTAAACCCAGACTGACCTAAATACACTAAAATAAACTGAACCATTACCTTATAATGCCTAGGAAGATGACTGTGGGCAGAGCAAGCCTATCCTCATGGGTTTACTTTCTAGTGGTAATAAAAGAAGTCGAGTGAGGGACCAGCAGGTGTGGTGGTTAAGGCGTTGGTCTCCCACATGGCCAACTGCCGTTTGAGTCCCAAACCTAGCAGCTTGATAATCATGCTGGGCGTGTGTGGGAGCTTGCCCAAAGCCCTGAGAGGAGACTGGAGAAAAAGAAGTTGCGATGTGGCCATACCCCTGAGAGATGATCTCCCATTTTCCCTTTCTCTCTGTCTGTGAGCGCATGTGCCCTATGGCAAAAACCTAAAAAGAAAACCGGGAAAGGGGGTTAGAGGATGACAGGATGGCTCTTTCGCGTAACGTGGTTGAAAGGGGGTCAGAGGGTGACAGGATGGCTATTTCACGTAACGTGGTTGAAAGGGGGTTAGAGGATGACAGGATGGCTATTTTACGTAACGTGGTTGACACAAGGCAGCGAAGGGTAGGTGGTGTGTGGTGCATTTCAGTTCTCCGCAAATTTTACTAGGATGATTTACAGTTCAGAGAGAAAGATCTCTAAGTCTGAGTCTGAGTCCCTTTCATGTCCTTGATATGTTCTAACTACACTCCAAAGGGCTGTGCCGGTCGTCTTGCCCCTTTGCGATGGGACTGCTGAGTGTGTCTACTGTCTCATAAACTTGGCCACAGAGGAGCTTCCGGGCTGCTCCATGGCATGATGGCTAAAGGTGCCAGACCCCACATGGCCAAGCATGCTGTTTGAGTCCTGGACATGGAGGCTTGGGGAAACGCTGGCACCTGTGTGCGTACCCACAGTCCCTAATGGAAGGAGAAACGGAGGCGGGATTGCAGTATAACTGTGCCCGGCTGGAAGGTGCTTTCTGTCACTGTCCCTCTGTTTTGCTCTGGTGAGCACATGTACCCTGTGGCAATTTTCTTTTAAAAAAGAGAAAGACGGAACCAGTTGATGGCATAGTGGTTACTTCACTGGTCTCCCATATGATCGACTGCGGTTCAAGGGTCCTGGACCCGGTGGTTTAAAACTCACGCCAGGCATGTGTGCATGTGTGTCCAAAACCCTGAGAGGAGAATGGAGGAGAGAAGGGATTGTGGCATGGCTACTACTCCTAGAGAGTGATTTCTCACCTCTGACTCTCACTCTCTCTTCAGCAAGCACACACGCCCTATAGCAAAAATCTGTTTCTAAAAAAAACTCGTGCTGGCGCATGTGCATGCGTACCCCGAATCCCAAGAGGAGAAGGGATTGTGGCATGGCCATCCCCCCGGGGGGTGATTTCTTGTCTTCTGTCTCTCTGTCACTCTGTCTCTCTCCAGCAAGCACATGCGCCCTATCGCAAAAATCTCTCTCTAAAAACAAACAAACCAACAAACCAAAGAACCTCAAGCTGGCACATGTGCATGCATGCCCCAAACCCCAAGGAGAAGGGACTGTGGTGTGGCTATCCCCCCTGGGGGGTGATTTCTCACTTTCTGTCTCTGTCTCTGGCAAGCGCACGTACCTATAACAAATATCTCTCAAAAAAAAAAAAAGAAAGAAAGAAAGGAAGAAAAAGAAAAAAAGAAAGAAAGAGAAAAAAAGAAAGAAAGAGAAAGAAAGAAAAAAGGAGAGCTTTCATGGCATTTGCTGCCAGTAGCTTCACCCGACTCTGGCCAACTCAGCTGTGCCATGTGCTGTGCTCTGCCCGTGACCTCCGGGCCGGACACTGCCGAACCCTTTCCCCATATGGCGGGCTGCGCGGTTTCACTCATCACACGTTAACTTTCACAGCACCAGGATCTGTTTCAAGATTATTTATCTTGTTCATTTGCCTATTTTTACATCAGTATCATACCGTTTAGCTATTCAAGTGTAAGACCGTCTAATGTCTGGCCAGACTAATTTCTGCTTGTTATTCTCGTCTTTAACATGTCCATGGGGTCATCAAAACATCCAGGAAAATGTGCATTATGAAGAAACTGTGCATAGACTTCCGCATTTTTTTTTCCTACCAGATGAACATGTACTTTGACCCCGTTTCCCATGAACCCTGTGAGTCCCCTGCGTGTGTGTGTGCGTGTGTGTGCACTTGTGCTTGTCATAGCCAAGAGTGCATGAACTTTATGCCCCTGTGATGAAGCACTCCTTTTGCCCTCCTCCCCTCATTACTTCATTTTTTGATGCTATTAGTGGTGGGGTTTCCTTCTTCATCACGTTTTTAATATGTTATTGCTATTATACAGGCTGGCTATTGATTTTCATGTATTTATCCCACCCTGCCATTGTACTGAGTGCTCGTATATCAATTCCAGTAGCTTTATAATGAAATCTCTTTGGTTTTATAGATACACAATTTGTTCTATCTTCTATTGCTAAACAGTTTCTACTCTCTTTTAGATACACTATTCCTTGATGTTATAGGATTTATTACCCATAACATGTTTTTATTTTGAAATATATTGCGCATCAAAATAAAATCGCTCTCTTTCACAAATGATGGCTTTGGCCTTAAACTTGACTTTAAGTGTATTTGTGCCTAATTTGTCCTTTGATTTTAAAATTTGTTCCCTTCTCTATTTTTCCATATTTACTTATTTGTGAGAGACAGCCCAACTGGGCCTTCGCAGCACGGCCCACCCGCAGCCTCAGCTGGCCTGGGTCTCGGACACATGCACACCCCCAGCACACTCAGGGAGGTCCCGGCTGGATGTGAACTCGAGATCCATCCCACTGGCCCCAGTTGCACCTCTGCTGCCTGGCCAGAGGGCACGTGTGTTCGCCACAGTGTGCATGTGTGAGTGGGAAGCAACCCCCTGCCTGGGATATGGTCAGGCTATGATTGCTTTTCTGTCATCCTTTCAGGATTTGGGGCGCACACACTTGCGTACCCAGAGTGCTTTTCAAGCCTCCAGGGCCAAGATTCGAACCACGGCTGGCCATGTGTGATTTGGCTCCCTTAATTACTGGACTACGGGTCTGGCCAGCCTGGCCTCAGTCTGTGCACTTTCCCTCTGATTCAGCAGGGTGCAGTACACACCTGTCCTATAGCCCTCACTTCCAAGCACTGGGCAGTGCTGGGGTGAGCATGTTATGCAGTCCAACCCCCATCTCCTGGCCATGGGGACTGGGCTTGTATGGTCACTCGACCCCAACTTGGCCCATCCCGTCACTCCAGTCCACCAAGTGTATGGGACGGGTTCATGTGCGGGCACCTGACTGCAGCTGTGCTCACAGAGACGCTGAGACTTAGAGTCCTGACAGAGTGAGACTGGTAGTTTAAAGTTAAACTGAAAAAGCCAGGAACTACCCGAGGTCATTTGTTTTTTTTAACATGTGGAGAAAACTAGTGTCTAGCAAAAGAGAATAAAGCTGATACATAATCACAGCAGCGATGATGAAGATGGCATTTGGACATCACCCACATCCGGGTCTCGAGTTCCCGGTGTACGGCTGCATCCCTGCCCCTGCAGTTGCCCAGCTGTTCTCTCCACGTCACCCACGTCCGGGTCTCGAGTTCCCGGTGTACAGCTGCATCCCTGCCCCTGCAGTTGCCCAGCTGTTCTCTCCACGTCACCCACGTCTGG